TATTTTACATTTGATTACTTTAATTTCTGTAGTATTTCTTACCTGAATAAAAACTTGAAAAAATTGCAATCGGTGCATCTCTAAAAATAATGTAATGACATGATGACACTTTTCATTTTTGTGTGACTGTCTCTTTAAGGCATTTGAAATCATTGTAATAACTTCTCTGCTCCTTGTGAACTTGGTATTTAGCCCCGGTCAGAAAAGTGATTTCTTGTCATTGAAGTAGACAACATGTTTGAGCTCTCTGGCTATTGCTGTTATTGGACAGTAGGTGGCAGGCCGAACACTCGGGTCGTGTAGAGGTCAAGTAAGTCCTCTCTTCCTCTTGCAGGTCCTGCCTCAGTCGGCCCTCAGGAGCTTCCAGACCAGCGCTGTGAGCCGCGACATTGACACCGCTGCCAAGTTCATCGGAGCGGGAGCTGCCACCGTGGGAGTGGCTGGATCCGGTGCTGGAATCGGAACAGTGTTTGGGAGCCTTATCATCGGATATGCCAGGTAAGAGACATTGAAATTTCAGATTATGTATTAATTTCACATTATAATATATTATTTCATGATGTTACATTATTATACACTACATTTAGGGGTAGTACGTTTTTCAACAAGGCTGCATTTATTTGATCAAAAATACAGTAAAAGCAGTAATACTGTGAAACATTATAATTTAAGATATTTTCTATTTGAATATATTTGAAAAAATAGCATCTTCCTGTGATGCGCAGCTGTATTTTCAGCATCATTACTCCAGTCTTCAGTGTCACATGATCCTTCAGAAATATGCTAATATGCTGATTTGATGCTCAAGAAACATTTCTAATTATTATCAATGCTGAAAATATGAATAGTAATATAATATATAGTAATATAATGCTGCTTAATATTTTTCTGGAAACGGATTTTCCAGGATTCTTTTATGAATAGAAAGTTCAAAAGAACAGCATTTATTTGAAACAGAAATTTTCTGTAGGAGTATGAAATAATTTGCTGTTACGTTCAATCAATTTAATAATAATAAAAATTAAAAAAAAACATTTATTTATCCCAAAAAAGTACTATCCCCCGAATTTGAGCTGTATTGTTTCCAACAAAGTAAACCTGCATTTCAAAGTAATTGAAGTATTAAGGATCTTACATTGTCCAGATGTTTGCAAATGTCTCTCCATGTTAGCAAGATTTAGTAAGATGGTTGTGTGTTATTTTGCAGGAACCCATCTCTAAAGCAGCAGCTCTTCTCTTACGCCATTTTGGGCTTTGCTCTGTCTGAAGCCATGGGGCTCTTCTGTTTGATGGTTGCTTTCTTAATCCTGTTCGCCATGTGAAAATCTGCTAGTTACGTAAACGCATTTAGTACAGTTGTAACTACATATTTTTGCTGTTGCTACCAAAACGTCTGCTGTCGGTCTCTGCGAGAGAAAATGTATGAATATAAAGTCCACTAAATCATGTAACAATTAAAAATTGTTCAACTATTTAAACCCTCGATCCTGTTCATGCCCACTGAATGAGAAAAGCAGCCGCTCCATCGGTGCTGCTGGCATATCAAGCTGAAACTCACCATGGAAATAAAGAACCTGATAGCACTTTCTGTACACCAGAATAGGGATGATGTTGTGTCTGTAGACTGTAAGCGCCCATTCAGATGTTTTCAGGGGTTAAACTGCTGGTCAATAGTATGACTGTAAATTTATAGCAGTTGGTTGAAAGCCAATTTAAACCTCAATTGCTTTTGTAAATTGCATTAAATAAATTTAGATCACAGTTTACCGTATTTTTGTGTTGTCTGTGTTTGTTTTTATTCGCATTGCACCGTTTTCATGGTATACCAACACGTAGTAAAAGACGCTAAAGCTGTGAAGAGAGCTATAGTGAAAAATATTTTGCTTATGCACAAATATTATGCATTACATTAAAAAGTAATGTGTTAAATCTGATATAAAACGAGTTTAAATTGTCAAACCCAGAGCTCATCACTCGCGAGATTTGAAGTGTGAAGGGCTCCCCAGAGCATTTATTCATCGCGAGATTATAGTTTAAAGGGCTTGACTCTGGGTTGAGCGGAGTACCTAATTCTCGCGAGAATCTCGGCACTGAAGAGCTTAGCGGAGTTACCAACTCTCGCGAGAGGTGGTATAAGTGGGCTTTGGCTCTTCAGGGTTCAGCCTGCGGGTGAGTAAGCGCGTCAACGCACAGTAATTATAAACAAACGCGCCTTTGTACACAAGCTTTCGGGTGACTAGCAGAATCGTCTGAATATGTATACGCCCTAAAATGCATTTTTATGACACATTCAAAGCTTGTCGGTATTTCTTTGTTATTAATATGGCGACGCATGCTAACAGCTAGCTGAGGTCCCATTGAAATAAATGAGAGATGAGGCTAAGCATTGATTAGCCTGCTGATACTGATGTAAACAACCTGTTTAGTGATGATACAGTCCTGGTGTCGCTGGAAATACACAGGTTTGTGGTTAAAGACACAAGCGCTTTGAGTTTGGCTCTGTGGAAAATAGCGATACAGTGTTGTTTAGAGGGATTTAAAGCAGAAAGTGACAATAGGTTGTGCTGTTACGAATGAGCATCAGCCTGACCATTACAGCACATTTCATTACTGTATGTGAATTACTGAGTGGTTTAATAAACACATAGAGGCCAATGCCAAGTGTTTAAATTTGTATTATACAGATAGTGATGCTTAATCCCTGTTATTCTGCTTTTAATCGTATAAAATCCGTATTTATGTCCTGGCAAACCTGCTTTGACAGCTTGGTCTGACACAACATCGTCCATTAAGCTCTTAGTAACAGTAGCAGGGAATAATACTATTGCACATTATTATGGATATTGAATAATGCTGATTGATATATAAATCACGTGTTTTTGTTCTTAGGTGTGGCTTTAAATTATGTTGTTGATGAATGACAAATTGCAAGTTTGACTTTTTTCCATGTTATCAGGTGGCAGACTGAAGCTGTGAATATGAGTGATGATAAACCATTTCTCTGCACTGCTCCTGGCTGCGGACAGGCACGTGATCACTGTTACACACTTAAAGCACTAACAGATATTTAAATATACACTCCAATTAAGTTACATGCTTTTTGTTGTTGTTGTTGTCCATTTTCGGTTTCATACTACTATGTATGGTTCATGCATCTACATAATGACTGTCTGTCTGCAACAGCGATTCACAAATGAAGACCACCTGGCGGTGCATAAACACAAGCATGAGATGACCCTGAGATTTGGTCCAGCACGCAATGACAGTGTCATCATCGCTGGTGAGTCTGAAAAGTCAGCGGTTCGCAATAAAAGCAGATGAACATGAACTATTATTATTCATGGCTTTATGGGCTACTGTTGCAGACCAGACACCGACACCGACCCGCTTCCTGAAGAACTGCGAGGAGGTCGGGCTGTTTAACGAGCTCACCAGCCCGTTCGAGCATGACTTTAAAAAGGCCACGGAGGATGACATTAAAAAGGTAAAGATGTCAATTTATAATTTTGCATTTTGCGAATAAACTGTCATTCAAAGATTTGGGGTTGATCAGATTGTTTTATGTCTTTGAAAGGAGTCTTTTTATGCTCACCAAAGCAAAAAGAGTAATATAGTGAAATATTATTACAACTGAAAATAACTGTTTTCTATTTGAATTGGTTTAAAAGTGTAATGTATTTCTGTGATGCAAAGCTGAATTTTCAGCATCATTACTCCAGTCTTCAGTGTCACATGATCCTTCAGAAATCATTCTAATATGAAACATGATTATTATTATCAATGTTGAAAACAATTGTGCTGCTTAATATTTTTGTGGATATACTGTTATGTTTTTCAGGATTATTTGATGATTAGAAAGTTCTAAAGAACAGCATTTATTTGAAATATAAATCTTTTGTAACATTATAAATGTTACTAATAAAAGTAATAAAAGTAATCATTCTTAAAAAAAAAAAAATCTAACTCACCCCAAACTTTTGAATGGGATTAAAGGTGAAAGTGGGTTTTATAGGCATTGTAACACAAATGTCTAGAACAAAAAAAACATTACGATTTTTAGTAAGTTCCTGGTCCTATTTTGCGTGATGCATGAAATTGTAAATTCAACAAACAAAGATTATTGGAGTATGCTTTTACTAGAAAATACAATGTCAATCTTTCTACTTCAAAATGTCAGATTTAATTCAAAGTGCTCCTTGCTGTTTTATTTGTGGAATATACTAGAAATGCAATTTTCTGAACCAAATGTCAGCATAACCATCAAAATCTAAAATGTAACATAACATTTTAATCAGAATCAGAAAGAGCTTTATTGCCAAGTATGTTTGCACATACAAGGAATTTGTTATTGTGTCACAAGCTTCCAGTACACGGAGACAACAACAACACACAGATAATAAAAATGAGATGTGAATAAAATACACATGCATAAATATAAACCACAAAAAAAGAATAAATTTTTTTAAATTTAAAATACTTTTCAATCCCAGTGGATAAAAGCACATTCCTCCCTTGCTTGTTTTGTGATATATGTGTGTAATCAAACATTGATCTACATGTTGTTATTGCAGTTGCCTCTGGACTTGTCTCCTCTTGCGACTCCTGTTGTTCGAAACAAAATAGAGGAGCACACACCCATTGCGTCCCACCGAGACAGCCCCCTTCCCCACCCTGAGTCGACCACCACTGACGACAAGGTGAGATTCAGTACTCTGCTATACAGAGCGCTGCAGTAATAGGTAGGACTTTTTTAGGTCCTCTATGTGTGGTAGTTACTTGAAGAATATTTCATGCAAAGGAGCTTGTAGTAGAGCAAAGTCCACCTCAAGGATCCTAGGCTCATATTGTGCAGAACTGTGTTGTCAGTAATTCGTAGTTTGTGGGTCTTCCCTACCTATAGCCTATGTTTTAGCAGACCAGGTTTGTGTGACTGCCTTCTCCCCTCATTCCACAAGTGAAAGGTGTTTGCTGCTTAATGTAGCTTGTCCCAGAGCTACTGGCTTTTAGATGAAAATACATTTCTTCATAGAGAATTACTTTCCTCCTTCCCGTAGCTCTATGAAGAAATCTCTTTGTTGGCCAGAGTGTGTGAGAAAGATGATACGTCTTTCCTAAGTCAGCAAATACGACTTTAAGACTTTAAGATTGAAGCTGTAACAGTTTTAATAAATAAACATTCACTTTGAGCGCTCTGTGATCTCCAGAAGCATGATTTTTTTACTCGTGGTCTCTAATGTGAACTCTCAAAATGCTGAAAATATACATATTTCTTAATTACAGTAGTTACCCTACTGTTCAAAAGTTTGGGGTCAGTAAGTTTTTTTTTTTTGTTTTTTAATAAAAAAATAAATTGATACATAAACTGTAACTTCTGATAAATAAATTGATAAAATCGTATTATAAATAAACAATGTTCTTTTGAACTTTCTATTTATCAAAGAATCCTGAAAAATAAGCATCACAGTTTCCACAATTTTTGGCAGCACAACTGTTTTTAACATTGATAACAATAATCAGAAATGTTTCTTGAGCAGCATCGTATTAGATCATGTGACGCTGAAGACTGGAGTGATGATGCTGAAAATTCAGCTTTGAAATCACAGGAATAATGACATTTTAAAATATAACATTATTTTAAATGGTAATAATATTTATCAAATAAATGCAGCCTTGGAAAGCATACGAGACTTAACTTTAAAAGCATTAAAAAAACCTACTCCCAAACTTTTGATTGCAGTGAAGTAATTTTTTGAGACTGATTTCTTTGATGCCCTCTGTCATCCATCAACTGTAGATCACTACAAATTGCAGTCTTTTAATTCGCAGATGAATAATGTATGTGCTCCCTGTGATGTAAAAGCTACAAGCACAGTAATGGAGATCAGTGTAGTTTTGTGTGAGCGCTTGATGCAGCTTGGCTCTCGTGTGGTGTTTTCAGGAGGTTTCTTTGCAGCCGACCTCTCTGCCTCCATCCACTATAGTCCGTCCTGCCTCCCTCCAAGTCCCCAATGTACTACTGGCCAGCAATGAGGCTGGTGTTGTTATTCAGCGAGCTCTCCCATCTCCAACATCTAGCTCTGTTATAACCCAGGTCCCATCCTCTAGTAGACCGATAGTGTAAGTAACTTCTAAACGTTACTTATTCTGCTTCTCTCTTAGTTTGCCATCATGTTTTCCTTTCACGCCTCATTCGGTGTTTGGTTTTCGTCACTCATTTACTTGGAGAATTTATGATTTAGTTTCAGTTGCTTGTGATCCATGTGCCTTTACTTTTACATCATAGAACTGACAAGTGCTCGGCCATCAGACAGGTTTTGTTTGAGCCTTTTGTTTTGTTTCACACACCAGTTGAAGAGAAAATTCTAGCTGTTGTTGTTTATGTTCTTATCACTTAAAGCCAACATGAACACAAAATGATTGACACTGTTTGCTTTTAATACACTTTTTATTTTTTGCATGATTTATCACAAAAAAGTTTGTAATATGTAATTAAAATGTAATTAATTGCTCTGCCCTAAACAGTTTTCTATCTCTATTTTTTAAATCTTGCCAATAGTTTTTATGTAATTTACAGTAGTGTATAATATAT